ATGGTGAACCACAATACCCCACTGTCACAAATACACAGATCAACTAGACAAAAAAAATCAACAAAGAAATATCAGAACTGAACCAAACCTTTGAACAAAAGGCCTTAGTAGATATCTATAGAGTGTTCCACCCCACAACAAAATACACATTCTTCTCTGCACATGAGACTTTCTCCGCAACAGACCACATACTACCTCACAGAAAATGCTTAAGCAAATGCAAAGGAACTGAAATTATCCCATGCATATTATAGACCATAATGAAATAAAATTTGAAATCAATGGGAAAAGAAACTACAAAAACTACATAAACGTGTGAAAATGACTCCCTCCTGAACAACCAATGGGTCACAGGTGAAATTAAAGAAGAAATTCAATAGTTTCTACAATTAAATGATAATGCCAATACAACATACCAGAACTTATGGGACCAATGAAAGCAGTTCTACAAGAGAAATGTATAGTGGTGAATTCCCACATCAGGAAAACAGAGCAAGCTCAAATAACCTAATGTTGAACCTCAAGGTTCTACAAAAGATGAGCAAGTTAAATCCAAAGCTCTTATGAGGAAGGAAATTATAAAGATTAGAGCAGAAATTAATGCAATCAAGACTAAGAAAACATGGGCCAGGGATTTAGCTTAGTGGTGCTGCTGCCTGCCTCGCAAGTGCAAGGTCCCGAGTTCAATCCCCAGTACCAAAAAAGAAAAAGAAAAAAAAAAGAGGAAAACAATACAAAGAATCAATGAATCAGGCAGGGATGTAGCTCAGTGGTGCCGCGCCTGCCTGACAAGTGCAAGGTCTTGAGTTTGATGCCCGGTACGGGGGTGGGGGGAAGAATTAATGAATTTAAGAGTTGGTTCTTTGAAAAAAAAAAAAAAGAGTTGGTTCTTTGAAAGGTTCGATAAAATAGACAAACCCTTAGCCAATCTTATCAAAAAAAAAAGAGAAAACACTCAAATCAATGCAATTGGAATGAAAAGGGGTAAATCACAACAGATCCTCCAGGAATCCAGATAATCAATACCTACTTTGAGAATCTATACCCTAATAAGATGGACAACACAGAAGAAATGGACAGATTCCTAGATACATATGAATTACAAAGCTAAATCAAGAAGATATAAAAATTCTAAATAAACCAATATCAGTCAATGAAATTGAAGAAGTAATTAAATAACTACCAACAAAGAAAAACTTAGGTCCTGACAGATTTGTTGCTGAATTCTACAAGAAATTTAGAGATCTAATGCCACTACTCCTCAAACTCGATAATGAAATTGAAAATGAAGCAATATTCCCTAAGCATTCCTGGAAGAAAGCATTATTCTGATACCAAAACCAGAGAAGGATCTAACCAAAAAACAGAACTACAGGCCAATCTCCCTAATGAAGACAGACACAAAAATCCTCAATAAGATATTGGAAAACAGAATGCAGCAAATCATCAAGAAGACTACACCATGACCAAGTACAATACACCCAGAGATGCAGGGATGGTTCAACATACACAAATCACTAAATATAATACACCACATTAACAGAACCAAGGACAAAAACCACAAGATCATCTCAATAGGCACAGAAAAAGCATTTGACAAAGTCCAATACCCATTCACGATTTATAAAAAACCTACAGAAAATCAGTATACAAAGGTTTTTATCTCAATCTGATAAAAGCCATCATCTATGACAAACCAACAGCCAACATCATACTAAATGGTCAAAAATTGAAAGCTTTCACTCTAAAATCAGGAACAAGACAAGGATATCCACTATCACCACTCTTATTCAGTGTGGTTCTGGAAACATTAGCCAGAGCAGCTGGACAAGAGAAAGAAATAAAAGGAATATGGATAGGAAAGGAAGAAGGTAAATTATCATTATTTATGGATGACATAATATGCTACATAAAATACCCCCAAAAACTCCACCAAAAGACTCCTAGAATTAATAACCACATTCAGTAGCACAGCAGGATACAAAGTCAACAGTCAAAAGTCAATAGCGGTGGCCAGGGATTTAGCTCAGTGGTTTTGCCGCCTGCTGTGCAAGCGCAAGGACCCAAGTTCAATCCCCAGGATCAAAAAAAAAAAAAAAAAAAGTCAATAGCATTTCTGTACACAAATAACAAACTCACTGAAAGAGAAATTAGGGAGACAGCACCTTTAACAGTAGCCATCAAGGAAAATGAAATATTTAGCAATCAATCTAACAAAGGAAGTAAAAGACCTTTACTCTCAAAACTGCAGTAGCCTGAGAAAGGAGATGGAAGAGGATAGCAGAAAATGGAAAGATATTCCTTGTTCTTGGGTAGGAAGAACCAATGGAGTCAAAATGGCCATACTTCCCAAACTATTATACAGATTTAATGCAATCCCAATCAAAATACCAACAGCATACCTCACAGAATTAGAGAAAACAATCCTAAAATTCATATGGAACCAGAAGAGACATAGAATAGTGAAGCAATTTTGGGCAACAAGGGCAAAGCAGGGGGCATCACAATCCCCGACTTGAAATTATACTACAAAAATGCAGTGATAAGAACAGCATGGTACTGGGGGGAAAAAAATGAACCAAGGATCAATGGAACAGAATAGAAGATGCAGAAACAACTCCAAACATTGTCAGCTACCTTATTTCAACAAAGGAGCCAAACACTTTCATTCCAAGAAAGCCTCTTCAATAAATGGTGCTGGGAAAACTGGCTTTCCAAAAAAAAAAAAAACTGGCTTTCCACATGCTAAAGACTAAAACTAGACCTATATCTCTCACCATGCACTCAACTAAAATCAAAATATCAAACAAGGTCTGGTGGCGCACACCTGTAATCCCAGCACTCAGGAGGCTGAGGCAAGAGGATCACCCTGAGTTCAAGGCCAGCCTGGGCTACATAGTGGGTTCAAGTCAAGCTTGAACTGTACAGCAAGACCCTTCTCAAAAAGCCAAGAAGATCAAAGGCCTAAATATGAGAACATCAACTGGTGTGGTGGGGTACACCTGGAATCCCAGCACTCGGGAGGCTAGGGCAGGAGGACTGCTATGAGTTTGAGGCCTGCCTAGGCTATATAGTGAGTTCAAGGCCAACCTGAACTACACAGGGAGACCCTGTCTCAAAAAACAAAATATTAAAACAGGAACATTTAATCTGCTAGAAGACAGAATAGGTAAAAGTCTTGAAGACATGGGTGCAGGCAAAGACTTTATGAACAAAACCCTGATCACACAGGAAGTATTATAAAGAATCAACAACTGGTATCACATCATATTAAAAAGCTTTTGCACAGCAAAAGAAACCACCAGCATAGTTAACAGACAACTCACAGAATGGGAAAAAATTTTACCAGCTGTTCTTCAGACAAAGGACTGCTATCTAGAATATATAAAGAACTCAGAAGAACCAGATCCCCCAAATGTAAAGACTCAATCCAAAAATGGCCATCTGAAATGAATAGATGCCTCTCAGATGAATAAGTAGAAAGAGCAAATATAGGAAAATGTTCAACAACACTGGTCATTGGAGAAATGCAAATTAAAACAACACTGAGATTCCATCTCACTCCAAAAATAGCCATCATCAAGAAATCAACCAATAACAAACGTGGGCAAGGCTGTGGGAAAAAAGGAACCCTTCTCTACTGTTGGTAAGAGTGAAAACTGGTACAACTAGCATGGAAATCAGTTCAGAGATACCTCAAAAAACTTGAGGTTCCATTTGACCCAGCTATTCCCTTTCTAGGTATCTTCCCGAAAGAATTAAAAGCATCATACCACAGCAATATATGCACATGCATATTTATAGCAGCAGTTTGTAATACCTAAATCTTGGAAACAGCCCAAATGCCCATCAAGTGATGAATGGATAAAGAAGATTTTTTAATGCAATGGAGTACTACTCTGCCATAAAGAAGGATAAACTTAAACTTGAGACATTTCTAGGTAAATAAATGCACCTTGAGACCATACTCTTAAGTGAAAAAACTCGAACACACATGTTTATACCTTTTCTTTTTTGGTATCTGGGATCGAACTCGGGTCCTTGTGCTTGCGAGGCAGTCTGCAGAACCACTGAGCTAAATTCCCGGCCTCAAACACACATGTTTAAATATCACATTGTTTCTCTTGCCTGAGAAATCCAAAGGGTAAAAAAGGATCAAAATGGATAGATATTGGGAAGTAGGAAGAAAATGTTCAAATGGGAAGGGGAACAAGGGACAGGGAGGGAATAGGGATAAAAAAGTAAAAAGTAGAAGGAAAACAATAAAACAACCTCTTGCAAAGGAAGAAGGGAAGAAGGATTAAAGGGAAAGGAGAGGAATGGGATAAAAAAAGAGTTAAGATATATTATGCATAGGTACAAATTCTCTATGATAAATGTGATCATTATGTATTTCAAAAGCGTATCAATGAAATTAATTGTTAGGCCCGGGGATTTAGCTCAGTGGTGCCACCACCTGCCTCGCAAGCATAAGGTCCAGAGTTCGATCCCAGGTACCAAAAAAAAAAAATTAATTTTTAAAAAAGATAAAGACAAAGTTCTCAAATGAATAAATTCTAATCAAACTCCACTGGAAATTCAGCAATATTTTTCTTCTACTGTTAGCTTATTTTGCCACCTGTATAGTACTTCCCCCCGCTTTTCTTTTTCGAGTAGCAGGGACTGAACTCAGGACCTTGCACTTTCCAGGCAGGTGCGGTACCACTGAGCTAAATCTTTGGCCCTGTTTCGTACCTCTTCTGACGAACAAAAGTAAAATATAACGCTCAAATACTTGGGGATGAAACGTCCATCTCACAATGTGCTGTAACTAACCTCTCCATATAGAAAACCCAGGCGCACAGCACAGGAGGCGGTGTGCGAGGAGGCCGAGGTAGGAGGACTGGGAGCTGGAGAGCAGACCAAACTCAAGGGTGGTTCAAGGCAAGGCAAGACCCGGGATCGAAAAGCGGGACAGAACCCAGAGCCGCGCGCATCCAACAGCCGGCTCCACGTCTCACCTGGCCCCGCCGCACGCCTCTCTCCGCAGCTCCTGCAGCAGCTGGCCAGCGCTCTCCGGCTCCCGGCTGGCCGCCTGCAGCAGCGCCTTCCTCAGCGCCAGCCTGCATCTTTTCTGCCGTGACTCCTCCCGCGCCAGGCGGCAGAGGTGCTTGTACTTCTGCTGAAAGTAAGTGCAAAGTTGGGTCACCCTGGAGCTCCTGCTCTCCACGTCGTCGTCGTCGTCGTCGTCGTCAGACCTGAAAAATGCAGGGAAAGAAGAGAAAAACTGTTTACACGTCATGCCCATCTTAGAAAGGGGAAATACACATGAGCGTGCACAGGGTTAACATGTTTCTGGCATCTAAGAACATTCTTTTAAACAGTAGGACAAAAAAGATTCATACTATTTCTAAATCTTGAGTAGGAGACTTGCAGAAAATAATTCTATTTACTAAAAAAAGTATGAGAAGGGCCAGGGATTTACTCGGTGGCACCACGCCTGCTGACTCGCAAGCCCAAGTTCGATCTCTGGTACCAAAATAAAGAAAGAGAGAAAGAAAGAAAGTATGAGGAGATGAATGGCAGTTCTGAAGAAACATACACCATAATGTTCTAAAAGGTCACTGCTGAAACACAGCAGTGAACTCCAACAGTACAATGCCTCAGAATGGCCCTTTTAGACATGCTGTGACTTAACTATCCTTTTCTTGCTAAATACTTCAAGAATCTTCATTGTACAGTAGAGCTCACATTCATTTTCCAGTGATAACTCTAGCCCTATGCTCGACAGCTTTTCGGAGAGCAGGGATTAATTATAGGTTTCCCACCATGTGCTAATGTGATTAATTAGTGATAGTGAGTGTTCATCTGATTCTAGGCTCAAGAAGACAGCTATGGTTAACAGCATTGTGTATCACCAGCAAGATTAAAGTCTTCACAGTTCTCTCTCTTTTTTTGAGACAGGGTCTCGTCGTGTAATTCAGCCTGACATTGAACTCCCAGCGCTCCTCCAGCCTCAGCTTCCCGAGTACTGGGATCACAGGCGTGCGCCACCATCCCTAGCAAAATATTCACAGTTCTATGAGCCAATGTGATCTCATTTTCTATTTTTAGTTATACAGTACTACTACTAACCTGTGTTATCTTCTTTCTCTTCTATCATAAGTAAACCACACATAACTTTCACAAATCATTACTTTTGTTCTCTTAAGAGGTGTTATTCCTCCTTCCTTTCAGAATAGCCTATAACTGGCTACTATATATAAACTTATAGACTCATACAAACATGACCACTACAGTTTTACTACAGACAAAACAAACTGAAGAATCTTATTTCAATCTTCACTTATTCAACATTCAACATTTACTGTATGTGTGTTACATAGGGCACTAAAGAACAGAGAGCAAAATTTCAGAGTTTGGAGTGAAATTTAGATTAAAAAAAAAAAACACATTCCAAAATTGAATAACTTGAAAGAAGCTAGAATTGAAAATTAAAACAGTGGGCAATACTTGAAGTATCTGAACACCCTAGAAAAATCTAAGAGTATTTTAAGATTCAGATTCCCAGGACCTATACCAGATCTGCTGAACCAGAATCTCCCTGTGAGATGCCCCAGCCCATGAATCTTTATTTTGTGTTGTTCGCCAGAGTTTCACAAAAGGTCTATACTTGGGAATTGTGTAAGGCCAATAGGGCTCTAAATACCTTTAATAAGAAGACAGGCAGGGCCGGGAATTTAGCTCAGTGGTTCCACCACCTGCCTCACATGCACAAGGTCCCGAGTTTGATCCCCAGTACCGAACACACACACACACACACACAAAGAGACAGGCAGCACTAAGTCCATGTGACTTATAGATACAGAGCTACTCAGGTTCACTGGAAAGATTGTTGGATGAAAGGCCCTGGAAAGGGGATGACAACAGAAACAACCCTTGAAGAAACAGTAGAAGCTGAAAATGAGAGTCAGACGTAGTGGGGCACACCTGTAATCCTAGCACTCAGGAGGCTGAGGCAGGAGGATTGCTGCGAGTTTGAGACCAGTCTGGGCTACATAGTGAGTTCAGGGCCAGCCTGAACTACAAAGCAAGACCCTATCTCAAAAAAACCAAACAAAAAGTTGAAGATAAGGAAAATAGGGGCATCTAACAATAATAAAATAGGGCCGGAGATTTAGCTCAGTAGCACAGTGCCTGCCTGGCAAGCTCGAGGTCCTGAGCTCAATCACTGGTACCAGAAAAAAAAAAGAATAAAACAGCATAAGCCAGTGTCCACAGAGACAGACAGGCTTTGACTACTAGGGAAGGAAGATGGGAAGGGTTAATAATTACTTAGCAGTTTCCATTAGCAAAAACTAAGGAAGGACAGTAGTACCATTTATAAAATAAGGAACCAGAGTAAGAGCAAATCTGAAGCAAAAAGTGAATCTCATTTCAGACAAAGGAATTCCTTATTTTCATTTTTTTGGTGATGCTGGGGATCAAACCCTGGACCTCACACATGTTTGACAACTGCTCTACACTGAGCCACTATACCGCCATCCCAAAAGTAATTTAAAGTACAAAGTGTGCTTCCAAGTAAGGGACCCTACTCAGGGTAGGGAGAGAGATTTCAAAGTAAACAACTAACCCTGGAAAGACAGGGGAGTAACTACAAGAAGCCACAGAGATAATGCAAAGAACAACACATACAAAGGCCAGTATCATAAAACAATTAATTCAATTTGGCAACTGAACATGAAGGATAAGAAAGTAAAAAATGATTCAACAGCTCTGACTCTGCAAAACTAGGAAAATGGAAGTACTATTTATAAAACAGGAAGAGAGAAGCAAGGGCAGGTCTTACAGGAAAGGTAAAGCTTGGATAATCACTTGTCAAAATTGTTACCTGAATTACTGCAGGGACGATGGAGTATATCAGAGCCTCTCAAATTTAGATGCACTGGATAGGGAGGCATGTGACACAACTGTAAGTTTCTAAGGCATATTCGTAATTTTCATGGTTACCTCGTCCCAGACTAGTAGCAAGCAGTTTGTGGACTGGCGCAGTTTGTGGACTGGCACAGGTCCACATGAACTTAATCTAGGAAGTCTCCAAACTGCTTCATATTTTTTTTCCCCAGTACTGAAAATTGAACCCAGGGCCTTTGCCCTGAGCTATATCCCGAGTGCTTTTCTATTTTTTATTTGGAGATAAGGTCTCACTAAGTTGCCCAGGCTGGGATGGAACTTGTGATCATTCACTCGGCTTCTCAGAATGCTGGGGTTGCAGGTATGGGCCGGCCAATGCTAAGATCCATAGTGGTACCATTTCAGACCTGGTGCTGAGGAGGAGGGGCACCAGGAGGAGAAAGGTCAATTCCCAATTCCTCAGTTCGGTGGCAGTGACAGGGCCTGGTAGCTAGTGCGTTTGCAGGACAGTATTACTTCATTTTCATCTTTAACTTCCCTCATCTGTGACAGGAGAGATATAACTGCTCTGTCCACTTCCCCAGATGAAGAGAATGAAAAGAAACGGGATCTGCAAAAATCACAACTAAGGAAGGTATTATTATTATTAAGACATTACTGACAAAACACAAACACAGCAATAAATCCCAAACTTGACATTCTAAGACTCCAGGCTTGTCCATAAACTCAAGGCATGACATAAAATTCTCCAAATAAAATTCATTCTGAGCTAGCTGTAGTGGTGCATATCTGTAATCTCAGCACTCAGGAGGATCACAGTGAGCTCAAGGCCAGCAAGACCCTATCTCAAAAAAAAGTTACGGTTTACTTTATTAAAACAACAGAAGAGGGCCGGGGATTTAGCTCAGTGGTTCCGAGACCTGCCTCACAAGTGCAAGGTCCCGAGTCCCATGCCCTGCACAAAAAACCCCACAAAAAACAGATGGGCATGGTGACTCAACTGCAATTCAGGAAGCTGAGGCAAGCAGATCACAAATTTATGACCAGCAGATCACAAATTTGAGGCTGGTCTGGTCAACTTAGCTACACTGTGCCTCAGAATAAGACACAAACAGGGCTGGGGATGTAGCCCTCTGGTAGAGCACTTATCTAGCATGCATGAGGCCCTGGGTTCAATCCCCAGTATCCAACACACAGAGAACAAAACAACAAACACCTGTGATAAAAACAAGGGAATCAGAAAGGAATTATATAAAGAAAACTAAATAGATACTGAGAAAAAAATGAGTCTAACTTTATAAATGCTGAATTTAAGTTATTGACAGAATAGCTGATGAGATATCCAACAGGTGATTAAAACACAAAGCAATGATAAGACATGATAAAATAATTTGGGAGTCATTCACACAGAGCTAACAGGTGAAATAACAGCAAAAGAATGAAATGCTTATGAAAGTTTAGCTAATGTAAGGGAGCCTGCCACTCAAAAGCTACTACATACTGGATAAGATACACTCATAGATGAACTGCTGTTCTCAAAGGAAATGGAAGCAATCTTATCCTAAAGGGGCTAAAAGTAAATAACAATAAAAAAACTGAGAACTGAAGCTGAAGTTGGAGGAAGGGAGAGAAAAGGAAGACATGGGCTGATCTTCTCAGGGCACTTGCTCACGTACAGTCCCATCCAACAAGAAACAGTTGAATTGGGCCAGGGATTTAGCTCAGTGGTTTCGCTGCCTTGCCGCACAAGTGCAAGGACCCAAGTTCGATCCCCGGTACCAAAAAAAAAAAGAAAAGAAATAGTTTAATTAAGATTCCACACCCTAACAAAAGAAATCGAAGACCTCTTCTCTGAAAACTATGGCACTCTGAAAAGAGAGATTGAAGACAATATCAGAAAACAGACAGACATCCCATCCCCTGCTCCTCAGTAAGAAGGATCAACACAGTGAAAATGGCCATACTTCCCAAACTGCTATATAGATTCAACGCAATTCCAGTTGAAATCCCAGCAGCATACTTCACAGAACTGGAGAAAACAAACCAAAAATTCATTTGGAACAAGAAGAAACCCAGATTAGCAAAAGCAATTCTAGGTAACAGAGACATGGGAGGGGGTATTACAACCCCCAACTTGAAACTATACTACAAAGCTACTGTGATAAAAACAGCATGGTACTGGCAAAGAAACAGACCTGAGGACCAGTGGAACAGATTAGAAGATGCAGAAACAACTCCAGACACACTCAGCCACCTCATCTTCGACAAACGAGCCGAACAACCTCACTGGAGGAAAGATAGCCTCTTTAATAAATGGTGCTGGAAAAATTTGGTTTCAACTTGC